GAAAGAAAATGAGTTAAAAACGATCGACATGAAGTTAATGGTTTTGGAACATATACACCATTGGCTGCTCTAAATTTCGAGTAAGCGACATCTTGAAATTTTAGTACGACAACTTATTCTCTTTTATCACCTCCAACCGACCAATAGGGATTTGATTCTGTATTGCCGCACCTAAGGGTTTATTTGATATCTTGAAATTTGGTCATAATACGATGAGGAGAAGCCGTTTTGACCATAGTGATATAATTGCTTTTAGTTCCGTGCTGTCAAGAAAATACATACACCTTCCTTTCTGGTTCTTCTAGATAACATTATATGTAGAAACACTAAATATGATAAAGCATGGTCTAGAAACACACTTGAATACCACAATAAGTTCTATTTAAAAGTAACTCCATTCCAACAAGAAAGTAATATGCATAACTAAATATTGATGATTTTAAAACTTAATTGCTACATATACCAAATAGTAATCTATCAGATTTTTTTTATCAATTATAGTTTGTAGTTTCAATTGCTATTGATAATCAATTTTATGCTAAAGGGAAATACCAATTACCTAGTTCTGGGACCTTGAATCCCTTCCCCTTTTTTCCAATTTAGACAAGGAAAATCCCCCTTATCCTAGTCGATTGCAAACTCGTCCGTGTTCCTGCAAACTCCTGTTACTAAGAGATCAATAGAGACAAAAAAAAATCCCCTTCTCTTCGATCCAACACTGGACAGTATACCAAAATCAAAAGAAAATCCAATAAGGCAAAATGCAGCAAAACCAACAACAATAAATCAAAAATAAAGTATAAAAACAATAATTATCGAGAAAAAAAACAAAAACAAGTAATAGGGAAAAAAACCCAACCTGACTACCAGAAAACGAACACCATTCGTCGATTTGGATAAGCAACAGTAAGAAGCAACCTAAACTACCACTGTTGATTTCAATAAGTGAGTAAGAAGTAAACGATTTGAAGAAGATATTTCGTTCAAGATGTGAAGACTCACCATCGAATTCGTT